CCAATTAAATCTAGGTTCCGCACTACTCATACTACCTAAGCTTCCTTGTTGGGTCATTGTTTTGACTCTTTTTTGTGTTTTGTTCCCTAACTTTAAAATTGAATTGAATTGTTTTTCGAGATTTTCGATTTCAGAATCGCTCATTTACGATTTGATTTGATTTGTTTTCTTTTTTCTTTTCTTGTTTTCTTAACCTAATCGCGTGCAATGCGAGCCCTAAACTATCCCTTCAAGTGACCTTATACAGAGGTATCAGAGGGACAAAAGGAAATGGCACTTACGGTTTCGTATTTCTCCGTCTCCTTTCCGGCTCAATTTTCCAACTCGTCACATGCGGGTTGTACCTTCGTAGACCGTCGTTCTGCTTCCCTTGCTGCTGGTTCTGCGTGCTGAAGGATTTGAAAATCCACGTAGCGGGTGTCCAAAAGTTTCGAAGTTTCCTCGATTGGCGATTTCAAAGAACTCCCAGAAGATTCTGGTTAATTGTCCACCACTACTGCACTTAGAAAATCCTTTCCGACTGCGCCACTTAAATGTTCAAAATTCGAGAGAGCGTTTTTAAAAACATTACACAGAAAGCGAAATAAAGTTTTATTTGAACTGGCCGTTACAAAGGTTGGAATAATTAAGAGCGTATTTTACAATATTACAATCGAATAAATACGGCTTTTAATGCGGTGTCAGCGATGCGTTATCTTCGCTTAGCTTTGGGCTTCGTCTGCAGTTTGGGAGATATAACTAGTTCGAATAACTTAGCCAGGTCGTCCAGAAAAATCTAATAAATCTAATGATTTATCCGACTTTATTCGAAAAAATGGCAATGGACGATTTGTCAATTTTTTAAGCTTTTTGAAAGAAAATTCCACCTTCTCATAATAAAACTAATGTTTTTTATGCCAATCTCTCATAAGTTTAAACGTAAATCAAATTAAAAATTTGAACAGCAAGGTGATTTTAAATAGTTTTATTTGAAGAATTACGGCTTTTCTATACCACAAGAGATTCTAGAGACACGAATTCACTTTATTTTTAATAATTTTATGTAAGTTTAATATTTTGTTTTCCTTTTTTTATTTTTCAACTAAAAGATCCAGATTGACAAGAAATTTGAGATTTGGGCTACAAAGAAAATTGAATGTGACAGCTGATAGAACCTAGAACGTTGCCTTAGAGGCATATTATCAAACAAACAAATAACCAAATCGAGGAAAACATTTTTTTATTTTTTTAAAACAGAATATAGATGGACCAGATATTCTACTCTATCTGTCCGAAGATCAAATAAATGATCTATGAAAATATATTGGAGACAAAATCAAGTTGAATAAGGAATAAGGAAATAAAATAAGGAAAATAAAGTAACTACCGATTACCATAAAAATAATACCATATACGTTAGGCTCATCATTTGTGTGATAAAATGAAGACCTTGATTCCTGTAACTTTAGCTGAAAAAATACGCTAATTCCCTCAAAATCATTGGAAATACAAGTAATTTATATATTATAAACTATAAGTTAATGCCTCAATTTCATATAATTTTAGGGCAAGGAAAATGGGGGTAATTATGCAGATACCAATATAAAAAGAAACCTTGTAAAATTTGCAGAAATTAGTCCTGTTGTCCAGTTGTTCTTACACGGCTACTAAGGGGTGCTTTTTTTTCGATGTATAGAACTTTAAGTTGCAATAAAACAAGGATGGATTATTCGATTGACATGAATTTTATTTATCCGAAAGATAATCTTGTGGCATTACATTTTAAATATGAATTCTGACATATGACCGCCACGGCTGGCGCGGATGTAGTCCAATCTGGACGTCCAAATTTCGATGACTTTTTCCAACATTTGTGGCCGTATATCGGCAATATCACAGCGAATGTTGTCTTCCAAATGGTCAAGCGTTTGTGGCTTATCCGCATAGACCAATGACTTTACATAGCCCCACAGAAAGTAGTCTAGCGGTGTTAAATCACAAGATCTTGGAGGCCAATTCACAGGTCCAAAACGTGAAATTAGGCGGTCACCAAACGTGTCTTTCAATAAATCGATTGTGGCACGAGCTGTGTGACATGTTGCGCCGTCTTGTTGAAACCACATCTCCTAGACATCATGTTTATTCAATTCAGGAATGAAAGAGTTAGTAATCATAGCTCTATACCGATCACCATTGACTGTAACGTTCATAACGCCCATAAAGCGCAGTAAGTTTTTCTGGATGTAACGGTGTTTCGACATACACTTGAGGATTAGCTTGGCTCCAAATGCGGCAGTTTTGTTTGTTGACGTAGCCATTCAACCAGAAGTGCGCTTCATCGCTAAACAACAACGGTAATCTCGTTTTGGGCCGATTTGCAAATGTTGTTCAGGCGTGAGTCTATTCATGATGAATTGCCAAACCAAACTGAGAATAAATCACTTGACAGCTGTTAAATCTGTCGCCATCTTGAACAGTAATGCCAACTTAAAGTTCTATACATTGAAAAAAAACACCCATTATTAAGAAAGCAAGGCGCGGTGCAACTGTCCTAATAACAGGATTTCCGTATAAGTTACAACTCCAAGTCTTTAGCAAAAAAAAACTAAATCAAAAGAGTTAAACGAGTTTCAAGCTCTTTTTCTCACTCACTCACTTCATATGTTATTTTGTTCCTTTTAGTCTTTAATAGTTTTTTTTTTGAGAGTCTTGAAAAACAGGGCGAGGAATAGGGACCTGCTTTCATATTATACAAGAAAACAAAAAAAAATGAAAATATAAAAGTTTGCCGATATGTAGAAGCTCTATGCAAAAATTATGTATTTCTTGTCAAATAATACAAAAAAGTAACCGATAATCGGCAATTTTTCCTTTGGTAATGTAAATTGCGCCGACGGCGCAGAAAAATTTCAAAAGAACGGTACAATATTTTTAAAATGTTTATTAATATGATAGATAATGATGATACAGTGATAAATAAAGGAGATTCTTTGTCACGCTATTGCGATTCGTATTTAGAATTTTTGTTAGAAGGTTTGAACAACAGAAACCTCAGCTTTTCGATTAGCATTTCTGGTTACCCTACCTTAGATAATACTGGTTCATTTCTAACTTTAAAAAACGTACTAACGCACGATCTGAGTTTCTAGTGGACAAAAAATCCTTTTTGTCATTGATATTTATTTTGGAATAAATGAAGGGCGACTTTTCGTAACATTAAATAAAAATAGACGACCTTTCAAATTTAATACTAAATAATTATACACAATCTTTCTCGATTATGCTACGGAAACGATGAATTAAATCAGAGGCGAATTAAAAACCTAAAAAAGCCGGCTTTAATTAAAAATTAAATATAGCGCCTTTCAATCTAGAAGAAGCAAAACGACCGTTATTTACTTTATTTATTAGCGTCTCGGATCAGCAGTTTCTTATGCTATCCATCGGGTGAAAAGCATAGGTCGTTTTTTTAGTAATTAAATCATTGCATTTAGGATTCTCAAGGAAAACTCAACCATATAAAAAACGATTTGCTAATTCTCTCCTACGTTAGGACAACATGCGCTTAATATTCAAGCATCCAAATGCTAAGTAGGATGGATAATATCTTTCGTTTCTCGATGCCATTTTGCCGATGTTGTCATATTTTGAAGTGGGCCATAACCAAAACTAACTAAGAAGAAGAGGAACTTATCGGCAAAAACAAAAATAAAAAATTCCTAATGCAAAATCGCATTAATTAATAATAATGTTTTGCTTTCTTGTATATATCACTACAGAATAATACTGCATTTGGGCGCTTCAATAAACAGCGCATGTTTTCCTAAGGCAGGAAAAAATGAAGAGCCTGTTGTTAGCAAATCCTGGTCCATCTCCTGTGATACAGCATATATTTTTCTAGGAGATAATCTCAATATGCCATCCAATAATATAGATAGATCGGTAAGACAGAGTGGATATTTTCCATTGTAGTTTTAGTGAAATTGAGAAACGCGTTTGGTATTTACATCTAATATTATTTTCAGAAATTTACTCTTGTAATTTAATATTAAATCTATTTACTTTACAGTTTTTGTAGATGTACTTGCTCCATCACCAAGTAAACACATACAGAAATAATATTTTTTAAAATTTCTACTGCCGACTTTAAAAAATAGGAGTTTAAAGTGTTAGGTGGTAGCGTCATACGTCACTTAGTCAATGCAGTCGTGCTGTTTTTTAAAAATGTATAGTTGACAAAATTCTTCAGTCACTGGTTTACAGTACACTCGCTAAGTTGAGTTTAGCTCGTGCCAACTAAAACTCGTGATTAAAATGGTGTTTGTCAAACTTGTAACATAATATACTATTAATTGTTTTAGTGAATTTTTCTTCTAAACGTCACTTTTTAATTTAAATGATATATTTATGCGACGTGTTTGAGCGTATTATTTGGATGCAATTCAAATGTTTCTATGCCAAAAGTTGCCCTTGGAACAGTGTTTGAGGTATGCACTTGATAGATTTTTATTTTAAATCAAATCAAAAAAATTAGTTAGGGTATTTCTTAGGATGAAGACACGAAACTCATGGAGGAGTAAGTTCAGGTGTCTAAATATCTGGACGTTTTCAGCCGTCTGCAGGGAAATTCCTCTTTCTAAAAGAGATTATGGCATCTGACGCTCAATTTTAATAATATCTGTCAAACTGTTAAAGCTAATTTGAAGTTTTTTGAATCATTCATAAACATGCAGGATGTCCCATTTATAAAATTATTTTTTTCCTACTGAATTCTACGTAAGACAGTATTATAAAAACGCTTATTTGCTGTCATAAGAGACTTTCCGGTTTTTAAGTACTTAATAAAAAACGAGTTTTTTAAATAAGTTTGACACCCAGTGTCATAAAAATAAAACAAGTTAGGACACATGTTTATATGAAAAAACAGACTTATTTTTCGATGATAAATAGACCCCCAAAACTTTGTGTTAAATTTTGAAACACCCCCCAACCCCGTGTTAAGCAGATATATATGTGCTCACCCGCAATCAAAAAATATCCTAAAATTACTGTCACAGTATGCACTAAACTGGTCCTCGGTAACATATCGTCTGCCGTATTAATAAAAACGAACGAAACACCCGGTGAAATCGATAATCGAAACAAAAAATGTAAATATGTCCGAGAGAGTTTAGAACGTCAGCTGGCACTACTCGTACCGTTTCGCATCCCGGCCTTAACTGCCGGTCGCTGAAATCGCGAACACTCTGTACACTGCGACGAGCGTCAATTTAAAAGGTAGGGGATTCTTGATGGATCGTCTCCGACGCCTTGTCTGCATCATTGTATGTGAGGTGAGGCGGTCGGTGCGCCTGACTCACTTTTAGTTGGGTCTGTCGTAAAGGATAGTATACATCGGTACTAAAAATTCCAAGCAGATCATTCAATCTATAATATTTCAACATTCTAAACTCAAATAAATACAAAGTTTATTTAAATTTTGTTTAATAAACCCTTAGTAACCCATGACCTCGATCTAAACTGGAACGGTAAAGGGGTGTTTGTGAAACCTTGCCAGTAGGGTTTTCTGACATAATTAAAAAAAAAAAAAAACAACGATATGGGTTTTGTACGTAGTTGGATATTCAAATAACGCCCCAATGACACAATTACCCTAACTTAAAATATGAACGACTAAACTTAACTTCGAATTTACGGGTTGTTATTAGTGTCTACTACTACTATGTCGAATTTATTTGGCTTAGGACGAATCGGATGTTTTCAGAGATTTTACCGCACGGCTTGCATTTTGACGTTTGTCAATTCTGACGGTCAAAAAATGTACCCAAAAACTAACTGTCCTAGAAACAAAATAGTATGCAACACGTTTGGTAAACTTTTTGAGTCACTCGATTATTAAACCCTCGTTCCGCTACGGTCCGCTCGGGACCCTTATTTGACTATAACGTAAAAAATATAGATATATTCTAAATCAATTTTTTTTTTCAGAATGTTCCCTTGCGAGTAAGTCAAAAAACGCAACCTGATAGCAAAGTGGGAATTTGAAAACCGGAGTCACTTATAGCACGATTGATAGAATTGAAAAGCCCTTTTTTATGACTTATAAAGAAATGTTCCTCTCACTACAAACAAAAACTTAGGACGGGCGGTATTGATATTTTCATAAAAAAGATAATGACATAGGCATATTTTGAGAAAATACTGCCATAAAATTGTCGCCTCCAAACTTATTGACAATCTGTCAGCGGCCATGTTGGATGTTCAATGTCGCACGCTCAAAACAAAATTTTAAATGTCGCGCATGCGCATGTTGAATGGACCTTCGCAAAATTTGTTTTCATGGTTACATCAAAAATCTATGCAAAAACTAATGATCGTACAAAAAATATAGTATGCAACACGTTGTCGCTCATTAAGCAACCGCTCTGTGTTCTTTAGTAAAGAGATACATTTCAAAAAAGATTTTAGCATTCACCACATAAACCGTAAAAAGAGTTTTAATTGATACATTTTCTCAACTGACATTTCTCATCTCTGGGCTCTGCTCAAAGGTACAATTTATGCTGTGTATCCAAGCATTCATTCCTTCTCTATTTATTTCTCTTTCTTGAGTTGTTAATATTTGTGTTTAGGAATTTCCTTGACTTTTAAAACATCTCAAGGGCCGGCAGAAAAGAACAAAACCCGAATTCTGAGTAAGTTCGGCATAACAGTGCGTGTCGCTACCGAAAATGTGGCCCCAAGAATTTAATCCGTCGAGACCTCCATTCCATAAAAGGCCAGAGAGATTAAGACCATCAGGGAACTCATTTTACACTGACGATATGCGCTACAGAAACACGGAGGTTCCGAACAATCCTTCAGCAAGTTTCCGACCCATGATAAATAGGTAATTATACAAAAAGAAATGTTCCTCTCACTACAAACATGAACTTAAGAGGGACTGGCGGTTCTATGATAAATTCCAAAATGAGGATGGATGGACCTAACGCAAGGGGAAGAAACTTCCCTATGGGAGCAGCATTCGTGGAGCCTTTAAGCGAAAGGGGAAGAAATTCTCTGACAAGTTGGCATCATAGGATGAATCAGCCTAAAGAGACTACAAGGGATAGAGTTGATGTGAAATATCAAAATGTTAAGGAAAATACTCTATACAACATGTATGTTTGCCCTCAATGTGATGAGCACTATTCCTATAGACGTAAGAGCTTTTCATCTTTGATATTTAATGTTACACATTGTGCCCCAAAATTGAATTTAAATGTTACCTATTTTTTTAGATTCGCAAATAAAATACCAAGACAAAATACCACTAGTTCTGCCTTGTTGCCACACTGTATGTCAGGAATGTATTTTCCGCAGCTTATCGGGCAATTCAATAACCTGCCCAGTTTGCCAAGTAGAAAATAAATTGTCTCTTTCGGAAACACCAATGAGAGTGACTGATCTGCAACAGATTTTTCACCCAAATTATTACCTCATAGGTGTCATTTCCTACCATAAACCAGTTGGTAGTCAGGTGAATTTAGAAAATATCAAATTTGTTTCCACTGTGTTGAAACAACATTTAGAATTGCCTCCTCCTTCGGGTAAATGTGGTATCAGCCCAAAGGTATTAACAACTTTAAATTTTTTTTTAAGAGAGGTGCTGTTTTGTTTCTTGCAAAAGAGAAGCAACTGTATATTGTCCAGATTGTGAGGGAATATTCTGCTCCGATTGCAGTATCACCATACACCAAAATACCAAAAAATTAATGGCACACAAGCCGGAACCGAGGAAAGATAACAAATTGCCATTTGTATTTCAAAATTGTCCCGATCATCCAAAAATGCAACTTGAATTTTTTTGTGAGGAATGCGACTTGGAAGCCTGTTGCTATTGCATTTTGAATAAACACCACGGTCACGAAAAGATCACCCTCTATTGCTTGGTTAGTGAAATTTTGTTATTGTTATCCCTTCAAAAATTGCAAAAAAGTCACATACATTTTTAACAATGATTCTCCTTTAAAAAACACATCACAACTCTATTAATGGCGATGTGAAAGGGTTTTCTCTGAGGTCATAAAACAGTAAATAAATAATAAACATGAAATGGATATTAATAAATAAATATTTCTTTAATAAAAATGAAAGTTCTCTCTATTTATATTTTTGGAAAGTAGTATTTTATTTTATTTTATTTTATTTTATGTTTTTCAGAAATTTTGAAATAAATAACTCATCAAATTAGTCTATATATTAATAAATGTGATGTTATTTTGCTCACTCTTCATTATTTTTTAGGCCTCTTTATCAAACTAAAATGTGAAATTAATAACTCATCAAATTAGTCTAGGTATTAAAAAATGGGATGTTCTTTTGCTCACTTATTTTCTAGGCCTCTTTATCAAACTAAAATGTGTTGGATAATGCAGCGTTGCCGCTTCTAAAAGTAACATTTCCAATATTGTCATCTTAAAACTAAATTAACAAATTACTCTGTAATATTTAGTGCAGTTTTTCAAGTGTTAAAATGTTTTCCTTTTTTTTCCAAAACATGATATCACTAAAACTTTAACTCGGCTACCATTTCAACTCACAGAAGGCTGAAATTTTTCGTTTATGATGCAGGATTGTTTAGAATGAATGATTCTGAAATAACTCACGAAAATTGTCAAAACTTAATTTTTCAACCACGTATATATTGCTTAAAATTTAAAAGACAATTAAACTTCCTTTAAAATGTTGCATAATAATGGTATAACATAACATGGTCCACAATATTTTAGTTTGCTAGAGCAGACTCGAAAATACCTAAATTTTCAAAGAAAATCTATTTTTCTATAATGCCTGAATTTGGAGTTTTGTATGCAATTTAGGCAGTCATTGCTTGCCCCCATTAGAAAACTTTCTGTTAACTTCAAAACTTAAGACTTTGGATTACTTATTAGTATGCCCTTTTATGTATATAAGTTAAGTAAATATGTCAAAATATGAAAGGATGGTGTATTGTATGTAATTTAACAGATTGTATTTTATCAAGTAACTGGTATTCCAGGAAGATGGGGAAAAGGAAGAGTTTAGTAGATTGAAAACGGAAGCCCAGTCCATTTTACATCACATTTTAAAATCCCAAAAGGTAAAAAAAACGGTTTTAATTGGTGCTCGTTTTTGATCTGTTCTTTTTTTTTTGTTTACAGAAAGCAGCCAGTTTTTCCCAGTTCAACGCGGATTCGGTAAAAAAGGGAGTGTGTTCTTATTTCGTGGATTTTCATGCGAAAGTATTTACCATAGAGAAATCACTGTGTCAAGAACTTAACAATGTTTCATCCAACAGCAGGTGAAATTTTTTCGTTAGTAGATGCATTGTTGCAGTTTGTTCTTGTTATAATTTATTAAGCAAATTCATGTTAGTGAGAACGTATTAGCACATCGGTCAACTTTGGATAAATGGGAATTTAATGACATTGAAGAGAAAAGTTGAATTTTCTTTTTTCTTTGTTTTTTTTGTTGTATAACCCCAAATTCTTATAAGAATTTTGAATTAATAGCTATAAAGAATCCTAAACACAAGCGGCAAAGGAGCAACAGCTGAAACAAAGTAGTTACGTACGAGGCGTTTCATTTAAAAAATCAGAAAAATTTTTCTAAATTTTGTCAACTTGGCAATAATTTAGGAAACCTCATAAATGATATAAATAATTAGACAGTTAACCAAACTCTTAGCAGTGCATTTGACCACATCAACATCTTTTTTTGATAGTATGAAGGCAGAAACTTGAAATATAAAAGAGATAAAAAAAGAACTTATTTTTAAAAATATTTTATACTTTTTCCCAATAAGTTGTCAGTGTCGTATTAAAATTCAACAATCATGATGTCATATAAATATTTATGGTGGAATCAAAATATATGCACTAATATACCCATAAACTATAATATATATAAATATATACATTATTAAATATTTGCAAATTGGTATTTTGGAATAAAGGGGGACCTATAATATCTCCTTATGTTTTGAAGGGGTCTCAATGAAATTCAGTCAAGATTGTCAGCATGGGCGGAAGAACTAAAAAAGTTGCTAGTGCTCGATGTAAATGGCCCCGGAGAGCAGAAGTTAAATTTCAGAAGTGCTCTCGCGAAGCTTAGGGAAGTCAGGAACATTCCCGCGTTTTTGATAAACGAAAAAGGCAGCACCGAACCTGCAAGGTAAAATTTTGGCAGTAAATTTCTCGAAAAATTGCTCAGCGTCCATTAGAGTGGGCCTTAAAAATTCACTGTTTTTTTTATCTGTCAATAAAATCATTCAGAATGTTCAACCTAAAAATATTTATCTGAATATGTTTTAGTAGAAAATTGAATTCTCTCCAAAAAAAGCTCTGATTGAAATGTTTGTCAGAGCCCTTTCCAAGAAGTCAAGCCTTAACCATTTATAGGCTTTTTTTTATTTAACTTTTTCAACTAACAAACATCTTAACAATACTGATTTTTAAGGGCAATTTAATGCTCTACAAAAAATGTCTGTTAACATTTTTTTATATAATGTTTTTTTTTTTCAAAAGTTATTTACCAACTTTAACAATAACAATTGTGTGTTACTATTGAAAATTATTTGTTTACAATATTTTACATATTTGTAAAAAAGAAAAATTATGGTTTGCAAAATTTCGATCCGGCAATTTTGATGTCGAAGATGCACCACGGTCTGGAAGGCCGGTCGAAGCTGACAAAGATGCGATAAAGGCATTAGTTGATGCAAATCGGCGAATAACCACACCAGAGATCGGGAGAGATTAAATTTGTCGAATTCGACTGTTTATGGCCATTTGGGCTTAACCTCGAAGCTCGATGTGTCCTTACGGAGCGAACTTTGTGTCGTCGCGTTGACGTGTGTGATTCGCTCCTCAAACGTCAAGAAAATGATCCATTTTTGAAGCGGATTATTACTGAAGACGAAAAATGGGTTGTATACAACAATGTTAAACGCAAGAGGTCATGGAGCAGAAAAGATGAACCGACTCAAAGAGTGTCAAAAGCCAACATTCACCAAAAAAAGGTGATGCTCTCCGTTTGGTGGGATGTCAAAGGAATCGTTTTTTTTTTGAGCTTTTGCCGGACAATACAACGATTAATTCTATTGTCATCAAGTGGACAAATTGAATGATTCACTTAAAGAGAAGAGGCCCGAATTAATCAACAGGACGGGTTTAGTGTTCCACCAGGATAATGCGAGACCTCACACAAGTTTGGTCACTCGCCAAAAACTTTTACAGCTTGAATGGGACGTACTGCAACATCCACCATATTCTCCAGATCTGGCGCCTTCCGACTACTATTTGTTCCGGTCCCTGCAAAATTTTTTGGATGGCAAAACCTTTACCTCAAATGAAGATGTCAAAAACCACCTGAACGAGTTTTTTGCCAGCAAGGACCAAAACTTTTATGAGAGGGGAATTATGTTACTGCCAGAAAGATGGCAAAAGGTGTTGGACCAGAATGGCCAATATATAATTTAATAAAATATTTATTCATTATACGAAAACTGTCTTTCATGTTCCCAAAAAAAAAACGAAATGACTTTCCGAACAACCCAATAAAACTCTTTCTAGTGACATTAAGGGCTCAAATTTTCTCCGTACATTTTCTGTGATTCACCATTTTTTTTGGCCCAGGCTAGTATCCCTAGCAATTACTTGGTTCCACGTTTCGGTTTTTTTAGGTTTATAGCCAACCCCTCAGTTATGAAATTGCTGGACGAAGGTTTTTCCATCGAAAAATATGAAGATTCTGAGTACAAGTTAGTTACTGCAGATGAATTGCCCAATGATTATGTTGTCGACGACACTTTGTCCGATAGCGACCTTGATGGCCCTACCAGCGCTCTGTGTAAGGCCAATATTTTGCCTCTCAGTATCAATTTTTGTTTATTTTTCTGTTTAGTGAGCCAGTCAGTTCGAAGTGAGGATAGTTCGGTGCCAAGTGGGTTCGAAGAGGTCCCAAGAACCCGTAAAAAGATTACCTTATCTCGAAAGACGCACAAGCAAAAACACCATAACTCAAAGCGATTAGGTAGGGAGATGATCTGTCACTTGAAAATTTTATCATTATTATTTTCATAAACGAAAAGTCGCAATGTCCGATAAGTTTACTGCTATACATTTTAGTTTTTTTCTGATGTTCAGTTTTTTGATCCATCACAATCAGTACCTTGTAAATATATCTCTGTATATACCATTAGCGCTGAGATCAACACTATTCACAAAAATTAAAATTTACAGGTAATGTTCATGTTACTGTCCCTCCGGAGGTATTTTTATTTTTATTGACTACTTTCTCACCAAGAGAGTTCCACCTCTACAATATGCAATAGACTAAAAAATATACCTATAAAATTTGTTGAACCAAAAAAGCACAACAAAAAATAGTTATCTCAATATATATTTGTAGGAATCTTTTCCAAAACATCAAGCCTTAAACATTATTAACTTTTCTTGATTTAACATATTCATTTTGGAAGTAACACAACTTGATATACAGAAAAGAACAATATTGATTGTTAAAGGGATTTTAATGCCCTACAAAATAAACGAATAGTGTTCTTTCCATCATAGTCTCCATTTATTTCATTTCATTTAATTTTGAACCTGCCTTTGTGATTGTGGCAGTTTATTTATTTGTTAGTGGGCATTGGTGTAATGAAATTTCAGCTATTGAATTTTGTAATTTTTTGGACTTAATTTCAAGTTTCTTTAGGCATCGTTTATCTATTTTAATCTAAGATTTTCTTCACCTTCACCCTACCTGCAAGAAATTGCTAAACTACTGGAAATATTTCCCGCAACAAATCTTGTTATTAAAGCATGACTACCAATATCAAAACAACATCTTTGATGTAACCAGCATTATTAATTTCAAATCGAGCTTTCCCGTTACGCCGCTAGATTTGTAATTCTTCTGCTTGTATTTCCTGAATGTGATTATGAAAACCAAAGCCATAATGACACCATAATAAGGTTGATATTTACTGCACTTATTTATGTGGGGTAAACCCTAATATACTGTTAATTCCGATACCTTAATTTCCACCACCCTCGTCAAATAGCAAAACAGACGTCTTTATCTCCAAGTTGTATTTTTTGAGAATGCGGTTAGCCTTTTCAGCCGTTTCAGAAAATCCGGCGAAGTGGAGAACAACAGTTGATGATTTAATTTATTGAAAGTTTTAGATTAGTGCACACTAAAGAACTGACTTTCCCAGAATCAAACGCTCTTACAATATCATCTGCAATTAAATCCTCTTCGAAAACCAATTGAAATGTGCCAAACGCATTTCAACCTATTGTTTTACTTGTTACTTTTAATTTAGTGGAAAAGGTAGAGGTCCAACACATAAACTCGATGGACAGTTTCTTCGTACACTACAAGAGTATGGAATCAAAACTCAACCAGCTAAACAAGGATATCGAAAATTATATCAAATTGGGCGGGGCCCAATTGATCAGACACCCTCAGATCAGTCAGTAGTCGGCCCAAGGCGAGGGATTCCTCGAAATAAAGCCGATTTCGATTTGCAGATAACTTGTATTTGGCGCACTACATCAGTGAGACGCACAGCGGTCAGAAGGAGCAACGTTGGTGCCGCGGGAGGCTCGTGGCGTTAAAGAACGGCGAAACCGAGCCCCTGTACAATGTGTTTTTTATCGATTACGGCAAAACTCAAACCGTAAACAGCGGGAGGTATACTGGAAAATGAACTGACATGTGGCCGTAGTCTCTTAGTACAACCTCATCGTTTCAGAATCAAAGACATCCCGCCGTTTCTGCAGCAGATCAAACCGATGGCGTTCGAATGTATGCTGTTCAACCCGATGAACGTCGATTGGAACAAGCGCGCACACTATACCCTCGCCAAGACTCTTAACGGGTACGTCTATGGCTCTGTTTCTTAATACTATGGAGTAATAACATTGAAATTTGCAATAACAGGGTTGAGGTAAATTGCAATTGTAGTTTTCCATATTTCAGTTAAGACATTCAAACCTTGAATCCTTCCTAAATTAAGGTCACAGTAAGTTGCATACAATAAAGAGACCAGTTTGGTGAATGAAAGTAATGTAAAAGCAGCTTTGCTACAGCTAGTTCATGAGCTAAGATCAGATAGGGTTTGAAGCATGGTATAAAAAAGATAGGATGCAATTAAAAGTATGTTGTTGCAGTTGCAGTTTATGTTGTCATACTTGTCAGACATAGAGCAATTTCGCGTAATATATCTCATGTCAGTTGTCAATATTTTAAACCTATGAAGAACTTTAAATTACGAATTGATTAATTTTGCGGTTCAAATATACTTTTGGCAAAAATTACAGTTTAAAACAACATTAAAAAACATTTTGGTTCGAAGTTTTACTGAAACATTTATGTAAAACTACATCTTTTTCATATTTTAAATCTGCGAATATATGTTACAAGAAAATTTGCTAACCGTGACACAAAATTTCAAATAAATAAACTGTGTAAACTATGTAATAGGTAAGTTACTTGCCCTCTTATTTTGTAGGTTTTGTTTTTGAGTTAGAATGAGATAATTCATTTACATATTTTATTCTTGATTTCAGATATTCGGTGTTACTGTTATATTTTAAGTCAATACCCGGTGCGCCCATTCAAAAAGTCAGTTATATTGTTATACATAAGAATAACGGTCATTTTTTTTTTGCTACAGCAAAGAGGTTTATATGATGGTGAAATCGGAAAATTGTGGTATCCTTGAGGTCGATCTGATGATTTCATCGACCGATGGTGGAATGACTTCAGTGATAGATATTTTGGTTCACGGCGGGTCTAACACGTCTCAGTCCAACGACGAGAGCAACCTGGAAGAGGGCACTGTACTGAAGAAGGTGAGTGGTGCTATTCGGTCGGTTTTTTTTTTTTAATTGAATATCATTCCAGCAAATATATTATCCCCAATTGACGGTCTTCCCTAATAGCAACAAGTTCGAAAAGAACCAAAAAGAACGCGTGGTCATTGCCAATGTTATCGATCCTCATAATATTATTGTTCATTTGGTAAGTGTTCTTTGCTTGGGGTACACGGATAGACACGCATTTTTCCTTCAATAAAGCGTTTTTTCTTTTAACTATTGAAGATATGTGGTTGCTTCTTGTGGGTAATAAAATGGGCGAGCAGTAAGTTGCTCTTTATCTCAAAGAGATATATGCAGCGTTTTTTCCATATATGATTCGGTGACTAATGATTTATCGGGTCTTTGTACTACACTTCTCAACCCAGGACATTATATAGAAGGGACACGATAAGCCTTTAATATTTTCGAGCTGAGCCTACTGACCAAATTTTGACCAAATTGACTACCTGAATAAATTATCTGTTATTTCTAAAGACTAGATGCAATTAAATATTTATATAAATAACGTGTGGAAAAACGCGTGGAATTTCTTCTATGCAACGCTATTCATCCATCAAGAATGCAGAAAACAAAATTAGATCATCTCTGTACCTTTTTAGCGCCCAGATGAAGGAAGCCTGCAAACCAATATTTTTTTCATATCTATTTCTGTTTTTTTGTAAATAACAAAAAGCGCCCATTATTCTTAAATATTTCAGTAAAATTTTTCTGTTTTAGGCCAGCCATCAAGAATCGTTCAAATCAATGCTCCATTCTTTGAAAAAATCGTACAAACATTCTGAAGATAGCGTCGTCCCTATCGAAGGTATGTTTTTTTTCTACGATTTTCGAGGAAATCTGGTAATTTGTTGTTTTGTTTTATTATTTCAGGCACCTATGTCCTCGTCGAGTATCGAGACCCCGTACGATCCAACTGGCACCGCGCCTATATCAAACAAATAGACTGCAACGGCAATCAGGCGCACGTAAACCTCCTCGACTGGGGCCTGACCGTAATCGTATCCATGGCCAACATCAGACCGCTCCAGGAAGCTTTTACGAAGCTAGAGTGTCAGGTAAAAAACTAAAGAGAAAAATAAAGGATGACACCTTACTTAAAAAAAAACAATACAAAAAACCTAAAACACAGAGTTTTCTTGATTCATTAATACTAATACTAATATTTACGTCCCAAGTCTAAACTTAATAGTTTGTAAATTTGGTGTGTAGTTTACAAACTAACTAAACTGTTGGGTATTTTAATAGAATTTCATCTAAATAAACTAACCAAGAGTTTGGCTAATTGGAAATCATATCCATGACCTTAATCGTATCCATGGCCAACATCAGACCGCTCCAGGAAGCTTTTACGAAGCTAGAGTGTCAGGTAGTAATACAAGATAGCCAAACCAAACTAACCAATCAATTCCCTAAAAACTAAAAATTTTAGAATATCATATTGCCTTTAAACCTATAAATGTTATCAAAAATTCGTTCGAACTACAGTCGAACTGCGATTTGACACATGAAAATTTCGAGTTATCAAGACTTCGAGATACAAATAAAACCTACAAATGCATGTACTTTTTGGTGAATGAACATTTATTCATTCATTTTTAAAAATGCGTTATAAGTTATATAAATGCCTTAATCTCTATGATTTTTGAAGAAAAAACAAAAATTATGAAATAGTAGTACATATGTATGTATGTATTTACATAATATATGTACATACAAATGCATTGTATATGTACCCAGTATATATAAACATAGTATGTATGCACATATACATACACATACACATGTATGTACATATTAAAGTTTACTCATTCACTGAAAAAAAGTCAGTTATTTGTGACTGACGACCGGATGACTAATTTTGATTTTCAACAAAAGTTCAATTTTATTTAAACAATCATAGAGGGAATCGGTTGTGTATTCACTGGTTTTCAAATAGGAACGCAAGACAATCAACGAATTTTCAACCAATTCATTTGAAGGTGGTTGCTGAGAATCATCTTCCAATTTCTCCACCATCGTGTCACTTTCGCAGTCATCTTCAATGTTTAACTGTACTGGTTCGGATCTGCAGGACTCGATAATATGTTCATCAGTAGGAAACTCTGAAGTAATAATATTCTCATCCGCATGTATAAAATCGTTGATGGTGCTACCTTCTGCTATACCTCTAATGTTTGTCCAAGCTTTAAACTCGATTTCTATTTGGATTTCGTCTTCACTCTTTTCTTTCAGGCGTTCACTTAGGAAAATCAAGGGAATCTCATCTTCTTTCCATTCAGAATACTGACCAAAACCGGCTTTTTTAAAACAATTGGAAATTGGTCAGGCTTAACGTCGATATTCCATGCGGTAATTACGTCGTCAACACAATCCATTAGTGTAATGTTATTGTTTTTGTTTTCTTCGACCCCACTTGCACTGCCACTTTCCATTGCGGTGATGACCGAATGTTTATTTTTCAAAATTGTAGACACTGTACTTGCCGAAATCAATGCAAACAAATGCAAAAATCCAAAAATGTCTTTAATATAATGTGTAAATTGAATAGGGACAGTATTTTTCACTTAGTATTAACTAGTAAGTCATACAAGTGAACTTAGCAAGCACAGAAACTGAACTGCTTGCATAGATACGTTAAAAAGACAGGTTAAGATCGATCGTAATTAGGGGGTTCCCCGAGAAAATTCGACTTATCGAAGTTGGCACCAAATGTTTCGTTCGAGTTATCAAGATATTCGACTAATCGATGTTCGAGTAATCAAGACAAACTAACACCCATTTCCTACTTTTGACTCTATTGCCAACCAATTTGGTTCGACTTATCAAAAATTCGAGTTATCGAAGTTCGACTGTAATTAACAAGGTTAAAGACATTAAAATTCCTCTTAGTTTCATTTGACGTCCCAAATCTACATTCCACCAATTGACGTAATATACATAATAGACAATATTCTCACTCAGGGATAAGTCAATCCTATCATAAAACAAGACTTGCTAGATAGTTAGTATTTTGTTTAACTCAAAATTAGTCCACTACTTGCAGAAATTTTCATGAACAATTTAGAAAATATGGTATAGATATATAGATGACGTTTTTGCTTGTTTCACTGAAACAGAAAAACAACTGCAGTCCTTTTTGAATCATATTAACTCCATACATAACTGTAAAAAAATACCATAGAGACGGTACTAAATGGACTTAACTATAACTAAACTACAGAACACATTAGATTTCTCCATTTACCATAAACCTTCACAGAAGGACACAATACATAATAACTCAAATTACCTTTACAGGCATAAAATGGCCTTTTATGATTTTATCTACAGACTATTTAATGTACCACTTTCCACAGAAATTTTTGAAAAAGAATTTAATATTATAAAACAGATAGCTTTTAACAATGGTTACGACCCCCTGTTTGATAGATATAGATAAGATTATAACTAAAAAGCAGTCACAAATAACTCTGAACTCTATCTATCCCATATTAAACAGCAAACCCAAAATTTGTAAAACAAAAAATACTTAGGAGAACCTGGGAAGAAAATTTCGAAACATCTACCTAAAATTGATCTTAAGATTGGTTTTGAAACTGAAAACACCATAGGACATTTTTTAAGAAACAATAAAACTAAATGACGAAAAACTCAAAAATCCGTGTCTACAAGTTGAAATGTGGATCATATCCCAAAATTTATATCGGAAAAACAGGTAGAACATTTCAGAAACGCATTATATGAACAGAAATGGGCGTATAAAAATAAGGTTGTCATATTTTGTATTTGAAAAAGGCACGGTGTTGCCGAAACAGCTGTCATAAATCATTAAATAACTGTGAAAATCTTGAACATTTTTTGTTCTAATTTAATTTTTTGTTAAATGGATTTTTCACTTCAGTCCAATAGATAAAGAGAAAGCTTATAATCTTCTGGAGGTATTTACGGATTTGGGTAGTCCATGTGTGCTGTAAAGCAATAATGGAAAAGAATTTTTGAACCAGGTAAGATTAAAATAATTTTTTTAGTATTTTTACTAAGGTTATTTTAATTAATGTAATATGCTTCTTTTGTCGAAGGCTCTAATTTTTATTTTAAAACATTGAATAAAACGTTAGTTACGTATACTTTTTTCAGGTTATTGAAGAATTGATTCAGCCTTGGCAAAATACGGCATTCGCAGACTTTCGGTGGAAAGGGCATTCCCAGATATAAAGAATAAACTGGCGACAAGCTGAAACAATGTTACAGATTTCCTCTAAAAAAATTAAGCCTGGAGATGTTGGCTATTATTATAAGCGTTGAGGATAATTTGTATCCACTTGGAACTGTAAGTGGAGTACTAAAATAATTATTTACACGAAATCAATTTGTTTTTTTTTTAATAATAATAAGTTTATTTATCAATCCATACAAGCCACAATATCACGACTACAATATAACGCTATTCATACTAATTCCCGTAAATACAATAACCAAAAAAAAAAACTTTAAAAAATAAAACAAAAGAGTATTTAGTAGAAGTGGGAGTCAAATAATTACGATTATTTGATAAATAGACTAAAATAATACCAAAGAAATACTTCTTGTCGGTGAGAATTAGAAGAATTAGAATTAAACTTATAACTATATATAATTATGGAAAGTAAAGAGTGTTAATGAAGATAACGAATACCTACCTAAATTATACATGTAATTAAATATGGAAAAATCAATACAAATTGGAAAAGTCAAAAGGATAATGAAAAATCGAACGGTAACCAATTGAATGAATACTAAAATGAAAATGAAACAGAAGACATAGTTTAATAAGCTAGGGAAGGAGTGATAAAATTATGTTGCAGTAACAAGCTTGTTTTGGAATGTAATTGTATTAAATTTATTAGCCATTGGTTTGTCATGATCAGGTACAGTTTAGTCTGGTTCTGGATACGTTTTCTTGGTTATGTATTTTTATCATTGTTGGGGATACTTTGACACATTCGAGACTTTATTTTTTTGTCGTACTTTTTAAGCTAGCCATATTTTTTCATTTGCAGTGAATGAATTCTCGATCTCATTTGTTTAGTCGAGATTTAAACAAAGTTAAAGAATTTATATTTTTGATTTCAATCGGTAGCTCACTGTGGATATTTGGGCTGAAGTACAAAAAGAATCTTTGTCCTAGTGAGGTCTTGGTTTAAGGAAGGTAACCTGTTACTAATTTGTGCCTGGTATTATGATTATGCTTTATGGTTTGTAACGTGTCTTTTTTCTTATATTGTCGCATTGCTATACTTTGCACCAAAAGTTGACGAATATCTAAAATTTTACTCTCTCGGAATAACTTATTACTTGGATATAGTTTATTCTTGCCATAAATAATTTTTAATATCCACTTTTGAGTGATTTCTAGCGTTCTAAGATGAGCATCCAGCACTCCCCCCCAAACTATTATTCCATAAGTTAAATGTGGTTGAACAAGTGCGAAATATAAGGTTCTCAAGTACGACACTTCAAAATATGTTTTCAATTCTTTAAATTTTGTGATTAAAGGTCTTAAGCGGTTACTTGTATATTTGTATATTGTGGTTTTATATTTTATGGGCACAGAATGATTCACATTTATTTTGATATTCAGTTCTTGGAAGTCTGGGAGATAGTCGGAATAACATCCAAAAGGCATAAAATTAGTCTTTTCGTAATTGACGGTTAAGAGATGGTTACTCAACCATTTAAATATATGCTGTAGGTCCTGTTCGGCTTTGTTTTTAAGTGCTTGCCAGGATTTATCTCTGTAGATTATGGCAGAATCCTCCGCAAAGCATATTAGTTCTCCAAGAGATTTTGTGTTAAATAAATTATTGATATAAAGTATAAACAATACCGGTCCGAAAACTGTCCCTTGGGGAACGCCACACTGTACATTTGCTTCTTCACTAACCAATTTCCTACTTCAACTTTCTGTGTTCTTTCAGAAAGGTAACTTTCTAAAAAATTTAGGGCAACACCGCTGACACCGGCCCTCTCCAAGATATCAATTAATTTGTGATTATCAACCATATCAATGCAAGTAATTTTTTTGTCTGTTGATGATATTAAAAAAGAAACAGAAATAAGTATTAGAAGTGGTGTTGCAAAACTTTGAGTATCAGGTTCAACACCAGGTAATGTGAAGTGCCCGTATAAACTGCATGAACAAAAAATATAAATGTACACCTGTAACAGCAAGTGTCCCAACAGTGACTCATATTGCAATACATAATAATAAGAATAATAATTATCATTGTTAGTTTAATATTTTTTAAAAGTATTTTTTGTACCTGTTTATAATTACTTTAGTGCCTTGGTTGATGTAATATCTATCATATATCTAAAAAATGTTTTTACCTATTCCTATACTATTATTCCAATTTGTATATAATAAAAAAGTGAAAACAATGGTTTGCATTTTATTCATAACTTCCAGCAAGTTTATAAACCATCCAAGTTTGCACATGAGCCGTATACACTAGTCGGTAAGTTTATAAACTAGGCAAAGGTTTTTCTATTTTGTATCACTATAAGTTATGCTTTTATATTAGTTAGACTGTAACGGTTAGTTTATAAAATACTCGCTAGTTTAGATGAAAATGCGTTTTCTATTAAAATAACTAACAGTTTAGTTAGTTTGTAAAAAAACAGCTAGTTTACAAACTATCCAAATTTGTATATTAGCAGTAATATATACATTAAATAAAATTATGCTGTGATCACCACAATTCTTCTTCTGCAGTGAGACCCATGACTTATCTTCCTTATCTTAAATAGAACACCCGGTATATTATTTTGTTTGTGTGATAAACAGATACATAAGGATCTACCGTTCGATTGTTTTTTTATCGCTTAGAGTGTGTTCAAAATTTATCAACCAAGTAAACTGTTTTTAATGATGTAAAGCTTCGTTTTTCCAAATAATACACCGCAATTGGGTATGCCTATGACTCTAGTTTTGACATGTTCTAGATTTACATCATTTACTAAGAAAATACTGAAAGACTACCAAAAATAAATAGTCAAAGTTTTGAAGAATAAATCAGAATTTCTGAAAAACAAGTCAGAATTTGCTTTTTACAAAACTTCTGGATTCCTCCTGAGTCGGTTTTTGCTTAGTCGAAATTGTTTTCAGTTTCAGTTAGTTTCAGTACAGCCCATGGCACATTTAGCTCCAAAGAACGGCGTTTGAGAAACAATCTTCTCGTAATTGAATGTCTTTGCTATTAACAGCGTACATTATCTGTGAATTTACTACAGCCATATTTAGTAAGGCATAAAATACCACCATAGGCTATCGTCTAGTATTTCTAGCTACATTGAAACTAGCAGATAACTTGTCCAGGTTATCAACATCCCCTTTGGTATGATTATAGTAGGTAATTATTTCAGATTTCTTTTTCTCTCCGGTTGACTTATCAATTAAGTCATCGTGATGTAAGGAGGAAACTAAAATTACATTTTTATATTTTTTTGGAACATATGACATTATTGTCAAATTTTCTTGAAACCCAAAAACAGTAAAATATACCGGTCGATTTCACGTGTTGATGAACTCTGGTGGAAGTTCCCTCTTGTTTTTCTTAATGGTACCAACAAAAGTTATATTATGTTCATTCAGTAGCTTGTTAACTAGGTCGATACTGGTGAACCAATTGTCATAAGTAAGGTTCCTATTCAACCCAGAAATAGGCCCTATAAGATTTAGGACAATGCTAGATGGATGATTTTTAACTCCAACCCCAGGTTGCTGTCCTACATAAACCTCTAAATTAGCGCAGTATGTGTTTAGCAGCATCAACCAAGCCAAAAATCTTTATTCAATATTTATTGGGCTTACTTGGTATGTACTGCTTAAACCCACATCGTCCTCGAAAAGACTCAAGTTTCTCATCTATAGTTGCATTAGTTCATATACAGTAGGCGATTTTACAGTTTTGAACAAAACAATCAAACGTTATTCTTATGGGAGCTAGATTATCAAATTGCCTTCTTTGGTCTCTGGTCGATAGATCATCAAACCTCAAACAGTTAAGAAGAAATCTGAAACGTTGTTCAGACATTGTTACCCAAAATCGTTCAACCCCAGTTCCTGTTCTGTCCCAAATTTCTTTTGTATTCATTCTACTACTTTTTAGTGTTCCAGTCAGGTAAAGCAACCCAATTAATGCTTTAATTTCAGTTAAGTCAGTTGGTATACATGCTCTGTCTCTAGAATAGTTCGGAGCAACTGTGGCGATGTATAGGTTGGTATTGTCAACAATAGAATGCAAAATATTGTCGGTAAAAAAGATGACCAGCAATCCATTGACGAAACAGCTTTTCTTGCATAATATCTTACTCCAGGAAGGGATACGATAATATTTTCCCATCTGGTCCTTGAGGTTTTTTTCGTACAATATTTTCTCCATGTTGTACCACCATCTTTCCCAACAAAACGTGGAATTCTTGGGATCTTTGCTAGAGGTTCAATTTCCTTTGAATCTGAGTATATCATTCTCTGCAGCGAGTTCTTCTTCTTGGTCAGCTGGTTCTTCAATTTCCACTTTATTCCATAATTGACGCAAATATTCTTGCTCTGCTTCCCAACTCGAGATATCTAAAAATAAAGTTGTAAAATGTTAATGAGATTTGATAACAAACTTTTGAAATTGGTTGTGCAGGTTTAAATTGAATAAATTCATCTTTAATTTATGGTCACTAAATATATGCAGTCAACTAGAGTAAAAATGTGTTATTGTTTTAGTATATTTCCACAGCTTTATTACAATTAAAATTAAATTACTCTACCACTGTGTAATACGAATTAATCAATGTTAAAAGTATGGCGGTCCAACAATGATTTCCCCTGTACATAAATTCGAAATAAGACGATTTTCAAATATCGATCATTTCGAATATACAAAATATAATATATTTTCAGTTCAAATTACAAAAATTACAAATAATTAAAAGGTAAATTTTCCTAATCGAGAAATTACAGAGCCAAACATGAAATTTTATAGCTGTCCATTTTTTGATATTGGTGGATGAAACACCAAGTGCGCACAGTAAAAACATACCTGACAAAAGCGCCACCTTAGAATCACCCCCAAAAAGTAATAACACGAGAAGTTTCGCCAAGTCTCACAGACCTTTTCAGTAATAATTTTTGAAAACTAACAACACGTAGACGTAATAATACTGTAGGCTGTACGAAGGTATTGAAGTACTGGAAATTTTACCGCCAACCGTTCGTGCGTACGGTGAGATTGAGATGGCGTCGGGTCTTTCAGACTTGGCGCCACCTCTGGAAGGTTAATCTAGTTCGAGGTCTAACTTATTTGTCAGAAATTCTAACATATGTCATAAATTTTGACTTGTTTCCCAGAAATCCTGATTTTCACCAAAAATTTGATTTAATTAAACTAAAACCTACAATTTAGTTTTGGTTATTCCTTTCAGCACTTTCCTATTTTACATATCAAGGTATTTTAAAAATTTAAATATAATTTTAACTTATAACAATATTCAAAATAACAAGAAATGAGATTTCAAGTTATACAAAACAATACCTACTACAACAAAATATACCTTAACATAGTTTTGGTTTGTTTATTTACATAGGAGGCATATTCTGGGCATGTCAGTATTATCTAGCGCGGAAGAGAAAAGGTGATCTCTTGTCAGTTCTCATGCACAAACACACAGATCCTGACATTATCCTATTCTTCATGGTAGGCATCCCATAAATCCCACCTACCTTGTGAAAACTATCGATCTCATCCGATCCTATGCCTTAAAAATTTGTTCTGTACAGCACCAACTCATAAAAAGAATCTCAGATTGTTGAACTGTAAACCCTAATAATACATTTCAAGTTTTGAATTTGACTTTAAATCCAGACGCACATATAGGGAAATTCGTAAAAAAGGGATAAGTAAATTCTCAGTATCAATTTTGAAAGTACAATTCTTATGTTAGTTAGGTGCTGTGCGACACACTTTTTACAAAACTTCTGGATTCCTCCTGCGTCGGTTTTTGCTGAGTCGAAATTGCTGACGTTTCGCCAATCATCCTGTTGGCTTCTTCAGAGCTTGACTGAAACTGACTCGTATTTTACTCTGTACCTGCTTATATATTTTTTGAGGGGGGCACTAATGAGGGGTATAAACACCGTCTCGGATGACTGATTACCAAATTGGAGACAGGTAGAGACCTGAGTTGCGGTTACGATTGTTAGGTTGTTTATAGATTTCTATAGACTCTCGGATTTTTCGGTGGTAAAAGAGCTGATTACATGCAAGAATTTTAGTTTTATTGAATAAAGCTGATGAGTTTATTTGTTTTAGTCGTAAGGCTTTTTCGTGTTCTTTGAGCCTAGTTGATTTTTTGTTTGGTCTTTACAATATATAAGCATGTACAGAGTAAAATACGAGCCAGTTTCAGTCAAGCTCTGAAGAAGCCAACAGGATTGTTGGCGAAACGTCAGCAAAAACCGACGCAGGAGGCATCCAGAAGTTTTGTAAAAAGTATAAACGACTCTTATACTTATGGAGATATACAAGACTAAGCGCTACCGTGTATAATATACTTACATCTACCATACTTGAATTTTATGTCAAAAGTGACGTTTGCAGATCTAAATATATGGCATTTCCAGGCGGTCGTTGTCAAAATGGCTCACATTCAGCCTTTTAACAAGCAACCCACTTGGTCTTCGAACGCGTCCCTCTTCCTGCAGGCATACCTCCGGTCCCAGGACATTTTAAAGATGGTGGTGCACGAAACCGAGAACGGAGTGGAGGTCGCTTTGTTCGATATGTCGGGACAGGTCGACCTTTGTTTGAATACCATGATGGTCGAGAACAGTTTAGCCGATTCTACCGGTCCCATGTGAGTTTTTGAGTAAAAGTCGACATAATCTAAACGCAAAAGATTACCAATTTTGACGTCAAATACTTCGGCATTTTTGTCATTCCGAATTTGGACGCCTAATTTGGTTGAGAATTCTGCAATTTCAGAAGGAAGGGTTTTGTGTCGACGTAGTAATTAAATGATTATTTAAAATGATTTTGCTAACTTCACTTTTCATAGGCAAGATGCACCTCACAACAAAAACTGTAAACTTTGAAATTTCCAAGCGTAGAATGTCTACTCAATAATGGTAACCAAACCATTCATAAATGTTTGTTTATTTGTTCTGTGTGTTTTGACTCATTTGATTGATGAATTGTCTCCTAATGTCAAAAGTCAGTTCAAATTGACTTCACTGGAAATAATATACATATTTAATTGTAGCCGACCATCACCAGTTTTGCTATTGACTAATAAATAACCAAAAAAGAAATGTAAAAACAAGTAAAATTACAGAGGAAACTATACGAAAAAGTGAGCAAAGAATTGCACTTTTGGTTAGTTTGACAGCTGTTTTTATTCTTAGTAAATTGTCATAAAATATTTTTCTTCGTCACTAATCAAAACTTAGGGTTTTTCTAATGGAAAGCTTATTAAATTGAAATGGAGAATTTTATTATGATTTTTACAAAGCAGCACATGATAGGGTTATTTTGAAAAGTGAGTTTTTATGACAGGTTTTGATTTTCTTTTACAAATTGTGTTTTAGCTTAACATGGTTCATCAACATAAAATAACACTGCTGCTAGTATAGTTACCAAGGAACAATATTGTATTGTTTTGACAACTTCCTTATTTCAAAATAAAGTTTTTTTCCACAATGGAGTTTTCCAATTTAGAAAAGCGAGATATTGTAGAGTGGTACATAAGGTACAATGAAACTGCAGTAAAAAAAATCATATAACTTGTGTTTATCATTTTTCTTTACAATTGAAAAACTAAAAATGGTTTGTAGTACAAAAGTGCAATTGTTTGCGCATTTATACTTTTTCGCATCTGCTATAATTTCTGAGATCCCTGTTTGAAACAGGGCTGTGCTGAGCATTTTTTGAAGTCAACAACTAAGTAAAGTAGTCCCTAAGTCACTCTAGTTGATACCAAATTTTTGCTTGCCACTACCCCAAAGTGAATGAAGTTGGGATATTTTAAATATTATCTCGAATTATTGAAAGAGTTCCTTGAATATTTTACCGGAGGACTACTTCAATGAAATGGACAATTTGACTTTCTTAACACCTTTTTTAGATGTCCCGTAGGAACGTCCCAAACATTAAGTTGTTCCCTAGGGGTGGTTGGTGAAAATGACAGTATATTTCTGTTTATTTCAACTAGTCTTATAGCAATTGTTAAAAAATTAACTCAACTTAGGAAACGCCTCTTATAAAGAGTGTTAATTTTGAGAAAAGTTCGAGGACAGTCCTTTTCTAGCTCTACCAGACTCGAGTGGCCTCAATACGAAACGGCGGTGCCCGACAACAACCAGAGCTACGAAGAAGAGGATCTGATAGCTTCTATGCTCGAAAAAGCGAACGACGAGTCGGAAGAGGAAGACGCAACAAACGTACGCAAACGCCAGGTCGACGTGGTGAAAGTGGTGAGCCCGGATCTGATTTGGGTCAAGTTCCTTGACCTCCGCCACAGAGAGAGTATGCTGTACAGCGAGCTCCAGATACATTACAATTTCGAACCAGTGAAGAGGACGCAGTGGGAAGTCGGCGAGACGTGCGTGGTCGAGCTGGAGAACGAATTCGCACGCGGCAAGGTCCTCGGACCGATCGAAGATGGCTGGAAGGTGTACCTCGTGGATAAGGTAACCCAATTTTTGATATCCAAAAATGTGCCGGACATCAAAATTACAGAAAATCGGCTCTTCGTTAATATCTCAAAACCTCTCGTGGCCATTTTATTAAATTAATGTTTTTGTTACGTAAAGGCGCTTAAAAAGAATATTGACAATTTAGATACTTTAGTCACAAATGATTTATGATGTCTTCTGAAGTTTTCTTAAAGAGGTAAATGTGCATAGAGTCTTCTAATTTTTCCCCCATTGTATCCTATAAATCCATAATTAATAAGATCTCCTTATTATTGTAAGAGGGTTGTTTGCAAAGAAATGTTCGCCAACAAATTTCATTGTTGTATTGTTGAATTCATATCCACTCCGGCAGACTCTCTTATAATTTTTCCGCTACGGACATTGTGCATTTTTTTGAAAACTTTTATCCAACTTCTAGAACAGTTAAATTTTGTTTTTTTAATGTTAGTTCCCAATTCATTTTGCTTTTCTTGTAAAGCACTATCACTTATAGGAATGTTTTCTTCCATTTTCTAAGTAAACCACTTGTCTTTGCTTAGTTTTGCTAATTCTTTCATTTCGTTTTTTTGAGTATTTTATTCGCCCACATTCCAGATCGTGGAAGTTGATTCGCCTGCGGATAAGATGTACGAGTACGACACCCACTTCTCCAAGTATCTCCAAGCGGTGACGAAAACCCATCTGGTGAACGTCAAACCGGCCGGCGACACAGGAAATTGGAGTATATCATCGGTAGAGGCCCTTCAAGCTATATTTGACAAACATAAGCGGATCTTTGTACACAAACCCGATGACGCGGACGAATCTGAAGAGAAGTCGATGCCCGTGAACATGTGGTAAGAAACGTCTGTTGCCACCCTATGGTTATTAAAAATTGATGCGTTTCGGGAGGGAATGATCTTCTGCGCACTCCTCTAAATTTCACCCACCAATCTTCACCGGAAGTGGATGTCAACTTTATTGTTTTAAGTGGATCACCCAATATATTATTGCTTTTTTGGATTCTAGAAATATTTCGTGTACAATAGCCTTTACCTAAATTTCACCATTTCGTAGATATTTATCCTTTCAAATTTTACTATAATAATTTACCGTGTAGAAAATGACATGTTGAACAAATTTGGTAATTTCGGTTATTAATAATACCGGGTGTTCAAAAAAATGACAACTAAAATAAAATTGAGAAAACTGGCGACAATTATTTTTTCAAATGAAAACCACCTAACTTTGTAATCCTATCCTTATTTAGAATTAAATATTAAAAAGCTAAAGTAGCTTCAGACAATACTGCTACAACTTCTGGGTTTCAATTGCCCCATATTTAGCTGATTATTGATAGAACTCAGACATTTATGAGTTTACAATGTTTTGTGTCATGTCATGTCATTTCTCTTTAATTTATTTATCAATGACATTTATTCATGTTTTAGATTCTACGAATTTCTTCTATTTGCGAACTTAAAATTCTCTAGACGTATGCGTTATTGGAAAGTAAGGAAAAAAGAAAAAGATTGTTACTACTCTTTTGATATACTATGCTTTTGTGAATAACATTAGATTTGGTTTAAACAGCTTTATATGCGATGTAACTAATGTTTTCATTATCTTATGAGAAAAAATTGAATATTATCCTATTTCCGATACCTAAAGTCCTCTGGTGATTCTTTTTCATGTCAATATGTCAAAAAAATGTTGATCAATAAAGAAAATTAAAGGAATCTTATTAATGTGTTATTGAATTAATTTCACTTGTTTAGTCTAGGATTCCTTTTGACAAATTTAATTTCAGACCATTCTGTTTACTCGACCAAATCATTTCGTGCACTGCACTCATCGTCTTTTTAGAACCTCAATATATGACTCCGTTCAGAATTTAAATGTCAATACCGTGTATTTTCTTTTGCAGGTATGGCATCGTAATACGGGGAGGTCCTCTGGATCCCGATCGTATTAAATACGTCTCTATCAACAATCTGCTCGTGAAATTGGGCTTTGCGTACAAAAAATCTCAAAAGAAATCAACTAAAGAAACGATTGCAGCCGCTGATAAGTTGCTAAGTTCCATCGAGAATGCACCATCGACTTCATGCGCGTCATTCATGGCGGAGCAGAACGACGACTATTCCAGCGAAGAAATTCCATTAGAAACGGAGGAAAATTATACCGACAGAAGGGATAACGACATACGGTTGGAAAGTCTTGAAAATGAGGAGGTAGTGTTGCATTTTACTTATCGTCCAGCACACCAATCGCGCCTTCTTTAGCCAATAATATATAATCGCTCATATTTAAAGATGGGATTTTCCCAGTAGTTCACTACTTTTTTGTGGAACCATCAATAGCAGTCACTTTCTTAGAAAGTTCTTTTTGAAATTTCGGGAATTGTCCCTTTCTCTAATACCGTACCTCATTGCTCTTGCTGGGACATTTGCGATATTATGTAGAAAGAATAAAATTGTAAAAGAACAAAAGAAGGCAAAAAGATCTACAAAATCAGTGCTAAAAGTTTTAGGATATGGCCCACAATATTGTGTCTCTTATGTTTATTAAAAAATGGCATCTAATAATAAAAAATATATACAAAAAGCGCATTATGAAAGTAGTCAAATGAGCACCCGCTATATTATACACAGATATATTTTGCTCTTCTGACACTTGTACAAATAGTGGCCATATGGCACATATATACATATATATTTTTAGTAAAACAAGATGTACCTAGCACCCAACAGTATTGCCATATTTCACGCCAATTTCTGTAATTAGCTTACACAATTTAGCGCTGTTAAGAGGATAGCGAGGAACATAAAACTTAGTAAACGCTGAAGTCAGTTCAGTGATTATTGTTTCTAATTGTTATTTTTAAGGCAAAATCGAGGTAAATAAAAATTCATTTCACTTTATTGTTATTACTAGTTATCATCTTAGCTCTTATTTTTCAAAAACATATTTAAATCCCTTAAATCCGGGCATTTAATTATAACAAGATACAAGTAAGAAAAGTAAGAAAATAAAATTACTTTTACCTCACACTATTTTTTAAGAGTGGTAAGTATTAAATAGGAATGTTTTAACACGAAAGCAAATAACACCTTCGAAAGAATTATGTTTTTTAATAAATATCTCGCATTCCTGCTTCCTCAGAGCTTTTTTATTGTCAATAGCATCCTTAAAATATATCTCCTAAAATATATTTTAAGGCTGAATTCATATGATCTAACAAATTGTTTTTGATGAACCAGAATTCTTCTTAAACTTTCTTCGCCTAGAAATAATTCTTGCTGTAGCTACTTCCTCAACTGAGTCGATTTCTATATCCGACAGGAATGAAGAAATAAGTGATTTGAGATGAACTCGACAGTTGATAACTTCAGGGATAATTTTTTCGTGCCCAATGACCTTTATTATCGAGGAAAGGGACAAAATATGGCTTTAAAATTTGGGTATTCAAAATACATAGGTAAAAACCATTCATACCTTCATTACTAAAGCAATTTTGTGTGCCCGATTGTTTCTTCAATAATACAAGCATTTCCTCAATCACTTAATATTTATTGAATTTTTCTTTTCTATAAATGGACTGTATCTCACATTGCGGCGACGTCGCGACCCATGCCGTGAACGTCTACCCCGTAACGCTACAAAATTGTTACTAGCCTAGCAGAAACGTAGACCTTGCCGGTTTGGCGTACAACGCCCTGTTGTCACATTGACTGAAATGTCCGGCATGTTTAAGATACACAAAATTAAAAAGAAATTTACATAATTTTGAACTCAACATACCCCCAGCCTTGAAAGAACCCTCTTTCAAAAAAAAAACAACAAAACAAACATTTCTTGAAAATCAATTTGTCTTAGACAACCTTTGAAACCACTTGAACTGAGTTTTTTTCTCACCCACTTTCGTGAAACAATGGACACAATTTTGCGAATGAACGTTTGATGACACCTTCACTCGTTTTTACATCAGCCACCCGACTAATGTTGTCCTTTCCTGGGTATAACTGAACGATGCGTCCCATTTTCCAACACAAGGGAGGCACATTTTCTTCTTTCACGATCACCAATGTCCCTTCCTGCAGAGTGTCCCCGCCAGCCTTCCATTTGAGGCGCCTCTGAAGTTCAGCGATATATTCCAGTGACCAACGAGACCAAAAACCTTGTTGGTATTGTTGAATACGTTGATAGCTAGCAAGCCTATTTTCAGGTTGCTCGAGCAATCGTGGGTCCGGTAATGAGGTTGCCCTTCTTCCAATCAGGAAATGGGATGGGGTTAAAACGTCCAAGTCAGAAGGATCAGAGGACATTGGAGTGAGAGGACGTGAGTTTAAAATGGCCTGCCTCTATTTGACACAACAAAGTAGAAAAATCCTCATAAGTCAAATTTGCCTTGCCCACAGCTCTTTTTAAATGGTATTTTACACTTTTTACCCCTGACTCCCATAAACCCCCAAAATGAGGCGAATATGCCGGAATAAAAGCCCAATTAACTCCTTCTGTCGCAATCAATGTCTTTAAACTGACATGATTATTACGCAAAAATTTTCCCAACTCTCTCAGTTCTGTCTGAGCACCCACAAAATTTTTACCATTGTCTCAAAACATTTTTTCTGGTTTGCCCCTCCTAAACACGAATCTCCTGAAAGTTGCAACAAATGCTTGCGTAGACAGACTTGTTACAGCCTCTAAATGTATTGCACGTGTGCAAAAACAAATAAATAAACAAACATACCCCTTGTACAAAGGCGTGCCCCGTCCCAAAGCTATTTTAAAATTGAACGGCCCTGTATAATCAACCCCTGTGGTATTGAATGGAAATTGTGGGATCACTCGTGACTTAGGTAGGTTTCCCATCTGTATTTCAAAGGACCTAGGTTGAACCTTCGAACACACAACACATTCATGCACCATCTTTCTCACAACATTTCTGCCCTTTAGTGGCCAATAAATTTCCCTTAATGAACTGAGCACTAATTGAGGGCCTGCATGCAATAGTCTCAAATGCTCTGCCTTAACAATCAATTTTGTACATGGATGTTTTGGGTCTAACACAATTGGGAATTTTTTGTCATATTTAAATTCTGAAAGCGCTAGTCTTCCGCCTACTCTGATTAAGCCGTCGGCGTCTAGAAACGGATTTAAATTTGACAACCAACCCTTTTTTATCTTCTCACCGGTCTCCAAAATTTTCTGCTCATTTTCGAAACATTCATCTTGTGATAACCTTATTAACATTTTTTCAGACTCTTGGAGTTCCTTCACTCTCAAATTCTTTGATTCGTGACTATCCAATTTTCTGCAACGTGCCGTAAACCTTAAGCAATATGCAAATACACGTTTCAATTTTGTCCAACTGGAATATCTGGAAAAAATCTCTAGACTATTCTTCTCTGTATTCAAAAAGGCTTTTACTCGCTTCCTCCTTTCTGGAAGTTCCTCTAAAGGTACATTAACACCCTGATTTGGAAAGAAATCTTGTGACAACCATTGTGGACCTTCAAACCACAATTTATTTCCACACAACTTGGAAGGAAAAAGTCCCCGGGATACTAAGCCTGCGGGGTTTTCTTCTGACCGCACATAATGCCAATTGTCTTGATCCGTCATAGACTGAATTTGAGATACTCTATTTGCGACAAAAGCTTGGAATTGATTTGCTGGTGATTTTATCCAACTTAATGTTACTGTAGAATCGCTCAACAAAAACAGTTTCCTGAAGTTTAACGTCATGGAAGTTTGTACTTCTTTTATCAACCTTGAAAGTAATAATGCACCTGACAATTCCAATTTCGGTATAGTTAGTGCCTTTATCGGGGCAACTTTACTTTTTGCACACAATAAGCGAACGACTACACTTCCATCCTTCGTGACAATTCTGACATAGACACATGCTCCAAACGCTTCTTGTGCAGCATCACAAAATCCATGAAGTTCGATGTCCTCTGAATTGTTGCTACCACCATTTCTTGCTTAAATTGTTTCCACTCTTGGGCAATATTGGTCGGTACTTCATCGTCCCAATCCAACTTGAGTATCCACAATCTTTGTAAAATAATTTTGGGAATGACGACACACGGGCTGACTAACCCAAGTGGATCGAACAGCTGGGCAATTTCTGACAGAATCTTTCGTTTTGTGGTACTTGAATTACTTGAAAATTCCCTCACTCTGTAGGTAAAGATATCTGCCTGACAGTCCCAATACAATCCCAAAGTTTTGTGTTGATGCTCTCCTAGATTAAGAGTTTGTAATTCTGCCTTGGGCCTTACTCCAAATTGTTCCAAGAACTCTTTCTTGTTCGAACTGAACTTTCTGAGCTCAAACCCACCAGATTTTAAAACCTCACAAACACCCTTACATATCTGAAGTGCCTCTTGAATCGACGAGGCCCCTGATATCAAATCGTCAACGTAGAAGTCCTTGCCAATTACCTTTGAAATCTGCGTATGTTCGCAATTTTTTGCCAGTTCCTGCAAACACCTTACCGCTAAAAATGGACTTGAGGTTAATCCAAATGTCACCGTGTTTAAATTGTAGACCTTGACTTCTTCTGCTGGATTTTCTCTCCACAGTATCCTTTGTAGATGGCGTTGATCTTCCCTAACCCATACTTGTCGGTACATTTTGGCGATATCTGCGCAGAATGCTACTTCATGTTGTCTAAACCTCAACAAAATTGAAATGATATCCTCTTGAATTCTTGGCCCCGAAAATTGCAAATCGTTAAGTGACACACCCGAGTCTGACTGTGCAGAGCCGTCATACACAACCCTTAACTTTGTTGTAGAACTTCCTTCATTTTTCACAGCATGATGTGGTAAGTAATAACACCTTTCATTCGTGATGTCCTCACTTACTTGAGTCATGTGACCTACTTGTTCGTACTCTCGCATGTATTCACAATAATCTACATGTAGTTGCTTGTCCCTGGCAAATTTCCTCTCCAAAGAGTAAAATCTCCTCAATGCCATCTCTCGAGAATCTCCCAACTTTTCAATACTCATTTTCAATGGGATTGCAACAACAAATCGACCATCCTCATCACGTCTTGTTGTTGACACAAACAAATTTTTACAATCAACTTCATCCCGTGTCATTCCCTCGATTTGACCTCCACCTGGCTCTTCTAGTTCCCAAAACTTGGCCAGTTGGTCTTGTACCTCTGTACCGATACTTAGGTTGCACACCGTTTTCTTAGGTTTGACTAGAGATCCTTGTCCACTGATGTAGCCCGCTACTACCCATCCTAACCAAGTGTTTTGTAAGACAGGTTTGTTTTCCCCTAATTCGATTCTTCCAACTCTTATGAGTTTCCAGAACACACCTGCACCAATTAACATATCCACTTCATCAGGCAAATGAAATTCACTGTTTGCTAGACAAATATTTCCTGGAATATTTATTGGCCCTAACTCAATTTCACACAAAGGAATCTCATCACTAATTTTTGGAATGATTAAACAACTGATAGGAATTTTGAAATCACCTTTCTGAGAACTGATTTCTACTTCACACCGTTTCGAAATCTTTTCAGTGTTTTGACCAATCCCAACCACACACACATTCGCATCTTTTGTTTTTAACTGAAGTCTGTCACACATTTTTTCAGTGATAAAATTGCTCATTGAAGCTGAATCTACCAAAACCTTGCAATGATGCAAATTGCCACTCACATCTTTTATTTTGACAATCGCTGTAGAAAGTAACACCTGACCTTGAGTCCCACAATTTATACTCGATAGCGCCACAGAGGTTTTACTTCCTTCATTTGAAGACGCTTCTACAGCCTTTTGTACGTCAGCAATTGGGGCGCCTTCAACACTGCCATGTTCGGTTTGGCGTTGGTTATAAAAATGTAATAGAACATTATGCCCTAAACCACACTGCGAACATTTTTTCCCTTGACAATTAAAACTAAAATGCTTGTTCGAAAAACAACACATGCATAATTTGTTTCGTTTTATTTGCGCAATTCTCTGGCTGGTTGTTAGCTCCAAAAATTTCTTACACTCGCTGATTTTATGGGCTGTATATCGTAAATCCCCGTAATATGATTCTGCACCAAAATACGCTTGTTGTCTTATCTTTTGCACAAAATGTCCCACGCGATCTCATAATTTGAAGCGCTAAATTCTAATGATTGAATTACCTCCTTTGCTGGAGCCTCAAGTGACGCACGCAAATAGTGAAACTTTTGAATGTCGCCAATCGACTTATTCTTGTGAATTAAACTATCAAATGTGTCTCTAAATTCCAACCACTTTGAGTAGTTTCCAGCAAACGTTGGTAAGTTTATTAAAGGTAATCGTAAGGTAAATTTTCCTGAAAAATGACAGAGTTGGAATCCGAATGCGTAATATTTTGCAAACACTCATTTTTGTTGTTCGTATCATTAAAATCACACAAAATATTTTTTGCCTTTGCGACAATATTGTAAAATTCTGTTTGGAAAATTTCCCTTTCATTAAATTGGCTCTCTAAATCGTTTTCCGAACATAATGGCTCAATTTCACTTTGATATTGTTCAAAAATATCTAATAACTCGATTATTTTCTCTGTTCTAAATTGGAATTGCATAAACACTTCTTTTTCTGAAGATGCGCTTTCAGTTTGCACATTGAAATTTGTTAAATACCTTTTAAATTGAGATAAGCTCGCTTTTACACTAGCTCGCTTTCTAATTAATTGGTTTAATTGCTCAGCCATTTTGCTGATTTTTTACACACAAAATAGAGACCACAAACTACAAAATCCAACAAAGGTTTGAAAAGGATCGACTTACAGGTTAACGGCGACTTTTTTTCTAAGTCCGGCCCTTACTGTCTCGTCCTCCGTCGCGTCGTAGCAACGCTGCGTGATCGTACGGCCCGCACGTGCAATTTCCAATGCCGCGCCGCGCTCGCCGATAAACTCCACGGCACCCCAACGACGACCTTCAAACAATGCTTTGTGCACCGCGCCGCTCCGGCTTGTCTCAGCTGCGCTTTTTTGCTTGCCGGCGTTCGTTTACGGACTCGTAAACGTTTCCCTCACAATTTTCACACAATTTTCTTTGCGAATACAGATGATCCAACAATCTGTACTTCGCAATTTCCTCGTTTTTCACTTTTGCGGAACACTCAATAATTCTCGCAATTGAAAACTCTCCACTCGATGGATCACAATCCCGTTCGATGGACCACTATGTTTCTTCAATAATACAAGCGTTTCCTCAATCACTTAATATTTATTGAATTTTTCTTTTCTATAAATGGACTGTATCTCACATTGCGGCGACGTCGCGACCCATGCCGTGAACGTCTACCCCGTAACGCTACAAAATTGTTACTAGCCTAGCAGAAACGTAGACCTTGCCGTTTGGCGTATAACGCCCTGTTATCACATTGACTGAAATGTCCGGCATGTTTAAGATACACAAAATTAAAAAGAAATTTACATAATTTTGAACTCAACACCGATGTTGAAGATACATTCTCTTTGTCCGCGTCTAAATTGGGGTCTGCGACATATTTCTGTCAATTTTATCCAAGTTGTAATTCTTAAACTTATCCATGTTTGCTTGCTCCACCAGTTGAAGAATTTTCGTTACTTTAGCAATTAGGTAAACGTCTTGTGGAATAACATTATTATTAAGGACCTGTGTAACAGGTGCTATTTGTTTTCTGAGTCTGGAAGACATTAATAATGGGGCGTTTGTACCCCACTCAGTTCTGCATACTTTCGTATAGCAGTACACCCATCTATCTATCTTAATGAATTTGGGAATGTAACAAAATATGTATTTTCATTCACGAGTATTTGTTTTGATCTTGTAAATAGTTTGATAAAACTGTTGCAATGTTTTCGGTAACATAATACTTACAGGCCTACTTCCCTTTCATATAACAGTCATGCGTTTATAATGTCTAGTCAGCAATTTTTCATTTTCAGACAGAGCCATTTGTCATTTCTTTTTGGGTTGATACATAAACTTCTTCAATATTGCTTTTTGTTGGGGTTATAATTATAGTAGTTCCAAAATGTAACGCCGAGGGGTCAGCGCCATACAGTTTAGTATCTGCGTCCTACCAAGATATGGCTTTTATTGCTTCAACTACATCATCGGAGCTTTCTGGTTTTAATGCTGAAAGTAAATCGATATAATTACCGAACTTTCTAATTTCTAACAAAAATCTAGCACATTCTCGCAATTTACTAGAGATGTGATACAGACGGAGCGCAGCATTTTTTTTTAGATCTTCTCCATGGCGGGCTATCAGAATGTCATTAATGACTGTGTTTTGCTAAATATTTTGTGCCTTACTAACATCTTGTTTAAATGTTTGCCATATGTTTTTTTTTTCGAAGCAGCATAAGCACTTGATTTACTGAAATGTCGAGTAAATTTTTTCTAAAATTTTATCAAATGAATTGATTGGTTGGATAATGTTCTCTATCCCGCTATGTAAATTTACAACGTAAAAATCTTTTTGCTCCTTTAATGGTGGTTCACTCAATGTATACAGATTTTGATAATTTTGCGCATGGTCATATATGTTTGATGCATCGCTTTCCAAATGAGTTGTTTGGCTACCTAAATCCAAATTTGGGTTTTATTATGCAACATTACGACAATTTGATTAGTGGTTTTGTGTGTCACGTTGAAAATGAGGTGTATGGCAATTTAAATTGGATGTGTAATTTAAATTTGAAGGACCTTCATTCAACTCTATTACATAATTATATGGAATATCCATTTCCAATCAGCTCTAACATGATGATGCAGGATATGCCAAATTTGATATATTCGCATATGGTGGATCGTTTGTTAGATGAGGTGCATAGGCATTTAAATTTGTCATAATATCCGAATTTGAGGAGCCGATATCTAAATTTAAAATGTCGTCGTTTAAATCTGGTATATCGTTATCAGAAATTGAAGCAGCGTCGTCTAAATCTGTTACTTCGCTCGCTGCGTTTTCGTTTTTATGATCTTAAAACTTAAAAGAAGTTAGTTTGGAAAACTATTCATGATCATAAATTGCTATTGTCAGTTTTAAACAGTATTTGAATAATTTTTCTATATTTATTGAAATTTGTTTCAATAATTTAGAAATGAGAAAATCGATCGATTGATGTTAGATAAAGTAAAAAAAAAACAAAAACTTATACAAACTTCATAGTTTTTCCAAAATGCAATTGCTAGAGAAATGTTCGAATAATTTTTTTTTAAGTTGCAACTAAATAATCAAAAAATTTATTTAGTTGCGACCAACACCAAATTTTTCTTAGCCCTTTGACTCACTTTGACAGTTCTACCTACACACTTCATCACCTAACAAAATATCACACGAAAATATAATGGAACATTCAAATCGGCGTTGCCAAATTTTGGGTGTCTAAACGTCGAAATATTATCTATTTGCCACATAATACAGATTTTATCTACTTTAGATACAAACTTTTTGCGGTGCGCCTCCTAGCGTTAAAGCGGGTGAACTCCTGGCTTATAAAAGGCGATATAAAGATATAAATGAGTCATATGACTCCCATGAAAAAATCTGTCATTATTGGTTAGAAGGAGGGGATACTGATTTTGAAATTTTCATATATATATATATATATATATATATATATATATATATATATATATATATATGAAAATATATATATATATATATATATATATATATATATATATATATATATATATATATATATATATATATATATATATATATATATATATTTTCATATATATATATATATATATATATATATATATATATATATATATATATATATATATATATATATATATATATATATATATATATATATATATATATATATATATATATATATATAAATTTCAAAATCAGTATCCTCTCCTTCTAACGAATAATGACAAATTTTTTCAACCAGACAATTTGCACAATTTAGTTTGCTGATCGTGACGAAACCCATTGTGTTGAATTTAGGTTCCGATCCAAAATAGCGACGTCGCAGACATTGATAACGCCATGAACTGGATCGACATCGTCGAGGCCGATCGAAGTATGATCGCCAAATCTAAGAAGTCAAAATCGAAAAAAAAGATGAAGAACAAACTGCCGTTCACATCTAATGACGAAAGCAAGGGGTCGTCCAAGGCCGTTAAGACCCCGAACAGTTCCCCTTACCGGACATTCGAAATCTCAATCGACGATTGGAAGCCACCGTTCAGACTGAGCAAAAGGGAGTTCAGGGCGAAAGTGACGTGCGTCGAGACCGGCGGTCATTTGTATTTGCACGAGGAAGCGATAGACGAAGTGTACAGGAAGATGGAGGCCAATATAAAGGAGTACTTCGATAGCAACCCCCCACTATGTGCGGATCACAATTGGGAACCCGGCCATCTGTGTACAATTCGTTACAATGACGGCAAGTGGTAAGCGATTTTTATTATGGAGAAACAGTAAATAATTGTGAAGGGATAACATTAAGAAGACCTTCTTCAGAGCATAATTTCATTTTTGGGTACATTTTTAGATTTATTACTGTTAAGGGTTGAATAACATTTTTCGGTAACTTCATAATTTTTTTGTTTTGGGTTAACCTTTTATTTTCGCGCTGTGTATACAACACCCCCACCATACCCAACCTTGGTTAAGCCGCGCGAAAATACAGACTTGCGTGAACGTCCGTAGTGCGAACCACGAAAAAACAAGCTCTCTTTTGTGACCGGTTCGCGAGAACCCCGCGCTGTGTTGTGGTCCTTACCACCCCCAACCCTCCAGAAAATACCCCTAAGAAGACCCGGCCCGGCAGACTACGACGCGGGAAACCATCAAGGTGGGTGATTAACCGTTTCGGGTGTTGTATGTCCTACCGTTTTCTTGCCGCTCTTTCTCGTTTAAATTTTGAGGGTGATTTACAACCACCTTCCCCCAACCCTTTACATATTGGTCCTTCTCCCCAAATCAGAATCAGTCTTTTGGATTTTTATAGTCATTCACAAACTTTAGTAATTTAAATACATGTTCGCTATCGTGAACAGGTTAGCAAAAAACGTGTAAAGTTCGGAGCGCAAAAAAGCGGTTTCATCAAAAGTGTTTACCGTCGTTTCGAATTGCGGCCGTCTTTTTATTTGATTCGTTCTAAGCATATTTTCTGCGTGCTGAAATTCTTCTTCCTTTTAATTTACGTGGGTACTTTGTTTCGAGACTTACGTGTGCATTTGTTTACAAAACGATTTACAATGTCGGAAATGGATAAATTTATTGCTAAGCGGGATTTAACACTTAGACGCGTTAACGATATATTGTTAGCGGGTCACAAAGCTCGCGTTGAACCCGATGATGATGAAATTTTATGCAAATTCCAGTGCATGGTGGAGGATTTGCCGAGTTTAGTTAGCACTTTTGAGTCCTTGCAATTGGAAGTAATCTCCTTAGCGAATGATTCGGAAAGAGATCGACAGTTTGCGGTTCAAGATCACTTTGATCAGTTGCATTATTCAATTCGATCTATTGCCAAGCGATTATTTGAGAAAGTGGAACCTAAGGCAGGCTCTCCGGTACCATCTGTAGTTGGTCGAGAGTCGCAAAGAAATAGTAATCTCCGACTCCCCCGTATTATCATTCCGAAATTTGATGGCGAATTGAAAAATTGGCCTACATTTTTTGATATGTTTAGCACGTTGATCCATAATAATTCTTCCCTTTCAAACATTGAAAAATTTCAATTTTTAGTATCTTATTTGGAAAAGGATGCTCTCAGTGTCGTGAAGAATTTGCCAATTAAGGATGCCAATTATAGTATAGCTTACAATGCCCTCGTGAAGCGTTATCAAAACGATCGATTGTTGTTAACCGATCATTGGCTGTCGATCTTTCGGGCTCCGACTATGAAGAGTGACTCGGTTGTTGAACTGAGGAGATTGCTTTCAACATTTTCAGAGAATCTTGCAGCTATCGATAAATTCGATATCGACTTGTGGGATTTTACAAAATTCAATTTGCTTTTAGAGAAACTCGACTCGACTCTCAAGACGAGGTTCGAACTCAAATTTTGTGATAAAGATATCCCAACTTTTCAAGATTTATGTGATTTTTTGGAACAGAATTGTAAAGCTTTAGAAAACTCTTTAGTTACCGCAAAAGGTATTACCCCTACCAAGAGGCTTGAGGTTTCGAAGCGAGTTTCAACCGATACACGTAGACCCACATCTATGATAGCGACGTCTATCCCTCCGAGTGCTGATGTGAGTTGCACGAGTAAGTGTTTATACTGCCCTATGGACTACCATCCTCTGACAAAGTGTGATTCCTTCCTATCTCTTGAGCCCCCTCAAAGGCATGTGTTCATCAAGCAACATCATTTGTGCTTTAATTGCTTCGCGCGATCCCATGGTGTTGGAAGATGCCCCTCCAAGATTAATTGTCGTGTATGTGGCAAGCGCCACCATACTTTAGTGCATTTTGGAAATGCTACTACCCTCTGCCCGTCGAATGAAGCTCCCCCTGCTCCCGGCAACCAGGAAGGTACTATCCCTAGTCCGGTGACCATGATGACCAATCTCTCCTCTCAAAAGGTCGTGCTCTTTGCCACTTGCTTGGTGTCCGTTTCGGATAAATCTGGCGGACTTGTTACTTGTCGTGCACTGTTGGATTCAGCTAGTCAAGCCAGTTTTGTGACAGATTCCTTTGCGAAGAAATTGGAGCTTCCAAGGTCTCTCTCTCCGACACCAATTCAAGCCCTCAACCAAATGTCGACGTCTGCGTTAGGGAAGGTTGCCCTGAGCGTAACCCCCTCCCAAAGAAAATCCCCTGCTCTCCATATAGAGGCTTTAGTTATTCCATCTATTTGTGATAAGGTACCCTACCAGGTGATTGATAAGCAGAATCTAAAACATCTCAGGTCCCTACCCTTGGCTGATCCCCACTTCTGTGAACCCAACGAAATAGACGTGCTTTTAGGGGCAGAGGTTTACGGAGATATTTGTTTGCCTGGATTTAGAAAAGGACAGAACGGTGGCCCATGCGCTTTTCGGACCATCTTCGGATGGGTTGTCCTAGGAAAAGTGAATTCTTTAGAACCATCTTCTCCCTTTAGTTTTTGTACCACTGTGAGTACTGCTGTTGATGTTTCTTTGAAGAGATTTTGGGAACTTGAGTCCGTCCCTTCAAAGACCTTTATGTCTCCTGAAGACAAATTGTGTGAGGAGATCTTTCTCTCTACCCATTCCCGTGCCCCTTCAGGTAGATACGTCGTATCCTTACCCTTTAAGGATAAACACCCTTCACTTGGTGAATCTTACCCTCAAGCCCTTAGGCGATTCCAGTTGTTAGAGGCGCGTTTGGCCAAGAACCCAACTTTGCGATTAGCCTACAACGAGTTCTTGAGAGATTATTGGGAACAAGGTCACATGGCACTCGTTAGCGACCTGCCCCCCTCTCCCCAAGGTTACTACATTCCTCATCACGCCGTCTGGAAGCCACATAGCGAACCCCTTAAATTGCGTGTTGTGTTTGATGCTTCAGCCAAAACTTCCAATGGACGGTCCCTGAACGATCTTCTATTTACGGGTCCCAAGCTCCAACCCGACATTGGAGCCATTTTGCTCATCTTTAGACTGTACTGTGTGGTTTTCACCACCGATATTCGTCAGATGTATCGTCAAATCCTAGTGAGTGACGCCGACCACCTCTTCCAGCGGATTCTGTGGCGTTTTGATCCCCGCGAAGCAGTGCGAGAGTACGTCTTGTCAACGGTGGTCTATGGACTAAGTTGTAGCCCATACCTGGCTATTCGCGTGTTGCGTCAGCTTGCTAGGGACGAAGGAGCGCGTTACCCGTTAGCAGCCCGTCTCCTAGATTGCCAAACCAACATCGACGACATTATCGGAGGAACAGACTCGTTGGAGGAAGCCCGTAAGTTGAGGGATCAATTAGTATCGCTGCTAAAATTGGGTGGTTTCGAGTTGCGCAAATGGGCGAGCAACTCCCCCGAGTTATTGAATTCACTCCCCGCTTCACATCATCAACCCGTTTCCCTATGCGGAGACGACAATCCCAGTTTAAAGGTGTTGGGATTGCAGTGGTGTCCCTTACGGGATGTGTTCTCCTACCGCATCCAAGTAGCGGATAGGACGTGCACAAAAAGGAATATTTTGTCGCAAGTAGCCCAAATATACGATCCCCTAGGTTTTTTATCCCCGGTCGTGTTGACTGCCAAAATTCTCCTACAGAGGCTTTGGTCCCAGGGCGTCGATTGGGATGCACCTCCCCCCCGCGACATATTCGAAGATTGGAGTTCGTTTTCGTCTCAGCTGGACAGTCTTTCTGGGCTGACAATCCCTCGTCGGGTACTGCCTAGCAATGGCGTCCAGGTGGAGACGCACGGATTTTGTGACGCTTCGGAACGCGGATACGGTGCAGCCGTGTATCTGCGAAGCGTCAGAGAGGACCATATCTCTGTCACCCTTCTGTGTGCAAAGAATCGGGTAGCGCCTTTGAAGCGAGTGTCGATCCCCCGTCTGGAGTTGTGCTCAGCGTTACTGCTCGCCGAACTCGTAGATTTCGTCCGATCCACTATAGCCTCTGAGTTGACTATCACGAGAGTATTCGCCTGGAGTGACTCCAAAATTGCGTTGTCTTGGATAAAGTCCTCCCCCCACAGATGGAAAACTTTTGTGGCCAATCGCGTGTCCCTCATTCAGGACATCATTTCCCCCAGTTCCTGGCATCACGTCGCCGGTTCATCCAACCCTGCTGACTGCGCATCCCGAGCGCTTTTCCCGGAGCAAATATTAATTCACCCCTCTTGGTTCTGTGGTCCCCCCTGGTTGCGTCTTCCGGTGGAAGAGTGGCCCACCTCCGACTTCACCCCCGGAGACGATCTGGAACTGGAACGTAAACCAGTGTTGACTTGTGTGTCCACCACTTTAGTTGACGCGCTTGGAGAACTGTTAACCCGTTTCTCGTCGTTACGAAAAATTGAGAGGATCCTGGCTTATTGTTGTAGGTTTCTAAATAATTATCGTACCCCCGTTCCCAAGCGAGCGCTTGATAATTTGTCTTTTGCGGACACGTACCACGCCCGCACGTTGCTCACAGGATACGTCCAACGTGAGGTGTTCGCCGGTTTGCTGAAGTGTCTTCGAAACGGTAAACTGTGCCATAAAACCTTTACGCTCCCTAGCGCTCTTTATCGACGAGCACGGTCTCATTCGAGTCAGTGGCAGACTCCGAGGTTCTGCGTTGTCTTTCGACGCAAAACATCCTCTTCTACTACCTCGAGACCATCGCTTTACCGAACTCGTGATCGAAAAGTTCCATAAGGAAAATTGCCACCCGGGCCCCCAATCGTTGTTGTACCAGATTTCACAACAATTCTGGATTTTGTCCGCCCGCAGAGCAATTCGTCACACCCTATCGCAGTGTTACC